CCGAGGCCCTGCAGCTGCTGAGCAGGGGCCAGACCCTGCCCCGATGCCGCCAGGTGTTCCGAGGGGTGCACGGTCTGCGCTTCCGGCCAGCAGGGCCAGGGGCCACCGTGAGGCTGGGGGGCTTCGCCTCAGCGTCCCTGAAGAACGTAGCAGCCCAGCAGTTTGGTGAGGACACCTTCTTCGGCATCTGGACCTGCCTCGGGGCCCCTATCCAGGGCTACTCCTTTTTCCCTGGGGAGGAGGAAGTGCTGATCCCCCCCTTTGAGACCTTCCAGGTGATCAACGCCAGCAGACCGGCCCAGGGCCCTGCCCGCATCTACCTGCGGGCGCTGGGCAAGAGCAGCACATACAACTGCGAGTACATCAAAGGTGAGGAGGGCACCTGGGTGCAAGAGGGACTCGGGCAAACCCAGGCCCCGCCCCCTATGGTCACGTGAACGTAAAATAACCAACCAGTGAGAGGACCCATCATGGCCACCGGCCCCTCCCATCTTCCCTCTAAGAGGAGACATCCTCCCAGGTAGGATGCCTCTTGTCCCAGGTGGTACTTAAGCCAGAGTAAGTGGCTGCTTACTTGCTGGGAGGCTGAAGAGGGCTTTCTGATCAAGGCAGGGTCTGGCCATTTGAGGAGGCAAGCAGACCTGTCAGGCCTTCCCCTGGCTAGAGGTGGAGGGGAATTCATTTCTAGCCACTATATGGACACCTAGAAACAAGCAAGAGCCCCAAGCTCAGTTCCCAAGAAGAAAGTGTTCAGTAATTGCATAGGAATGACGTGCTGTAGTGTACGCTGGGTGGGACGCTGAGACAGCCGTTGGGTGCTGCCCTCCTAAGTTCCATGGGGCAGATGCTGGATACTCCCGTCTATGCGCCCAGGACTGGGCAGAGAAGGGATCATGAAGGATTACAAGTATGGGCCTCGATTCTTCTCCGAAAGGGCTGTGGGCCGTTCCCAGCTCAGTGAGGACCAGTTTCTGTAATTTGAGGCAGGTAGCTGGCCAGAACTGTGCCCACTGCTAAGATGCAAAGGTCCAGGGTGGTTTCATCCTAGACGGCATCAGGAGCACCCATGGGATGAAGGAAGATGAGGAAGACACACAAAGAACACAGACTCGTGACGCTAGGGTCACCATTCGTGACACTAAGGTCATACTTGTGATTCTTCTGACATGCAAGAGATCTGAGTTAAGAGGGAGAAGGGGAGGCCATACCAGGTATGAACCCCCAAGTCTCTGACCCTCTGTATTTATTAGAGTATAGGAGGAAGCAAGAGTTGTCTTTCAGAAAATTAAAAGTAAAGGTTGTTTCCTGGGACATGTTGAGTTTAGTTATTGATAAAAGGGAAAGTTTTCAGATGACCCTTGTAATAAGGCAAATATCTAGGAATTTGGAAAACAGTCATCAGATAACACACCCACCAAAGTCACCTGCTGTTTTCAAGCAGAAAGATAAGAGTTCATTTAGCTTTTTCGCCAAGTTCTCTAGGCAAGCATTCACTCCTGCATTCAAAGTTCATAGGTCCATGGTGTTTTAGGAGCAAAGGATTTCCGTGATTCCCTAACACAGCCCCCCCTCAGCTGGAACAGGGCATGGAAAGACAGGAGGGTGTGGCAGGGAGGAAAAATTATAGGCCAAACAAACAGGAGTGTCCCAGAATGGACTCTGCTTTGGTGGACAGCTCCCTCTGCCTAGCTGCTCACAGGTCAGGTCAACTCCAGTCAAAGGAGGTCCCACAGGAGAGAGAATTAGGGGAACATGCCTGCGCTTTCTCTAGAGCAGAGCTGTGCAGCCCCCTCCTGTCCTGGGAGCTACTGAGGCTTTGATTCTTTATCATTTCTTTCCTACAGACAGGTGCAAGTCTGGACCCTGCCATCTGGATAATTCAGGTGAGGGCTACAGGCAACTGTGGGACTGTTTGGGGATGTGCAGGAAGTCCTCGCCTGGACTTCTCCATAAGGAAAACAACCTCCTTATTCCAAAAAGCAAACCTTCTTAATCAGACACCAATGGGACACATATGTGGGTGTGGGGTGGTGGTCAGGGAGCAGGTATGCCTTCTCTGCTTCACAGCATCAGGGCCCAGAGAGAGTTGGCTGCACGAGGTGGGGAGGAAAGGGCTGTTCCCCACAGGTGCCCCCAGGCCTTCTCCTTCAGCTGGAACCCAGCTGTCTCTGGGACAGCCCCAGGACTCCATCAGACCCACTGTCAAAGGTTTAGGTCAGGCCTTGGGTGCTGGAGGCGTGGGTTCTAACCCAGACATAGGCCTAACCTTCTCTGTCATCAACCCATTCTTCCTCTGGGGCTGTTTCTCTTATTGGGATAACAGGCAAATGAGATTAGGTGATCCCCAAGTCCTTTCTGGCTGTGACTCTTCTTTTCCCTTGAATACCTGTTGTGATGCGCCGGCCTGGACCACCACTCCTCTAGGGCCAAGGCCATCCCTGGGGAGGAAACTTTCATTAGTTCCTCAGCCTCAGGTCTTTCCTCCCTCCCTTGGGGACCATGAGACATGGGCAGGAAGGATTCCCAGCCTCCACTCTGCCTGACCGTCCTCCCTGACATGGTGACACGCAGGATTCGGGCACATCATGCCATTAGTCCTCACCACAAGACACTGTTGTAGGCACCGTCGTTACCCCTGTTCTACAGACGATGGACTAAGGCACACAGCGAAGACACGGCCCCTTGTCTATAGCTGGTGAGGGGCGGAGTCCAGACGTCCCCGTCTAGGGCCAGGGCTGGCCCACCCCACCCAGGCGTCGTCTCACTTTATCTTCACCACATGGTAATCTCCAGGGAGGAGGCAGAACAGCGAGCATTACCCTTGTTTGAAATAAAGTGAGACCCAGAGACAAAAGTGGATGGTGACATCCAGGTGACAGTGAGTTAGCTACAGAGTCAATACTAGGGGCCAGGTCTCTAGCTTCCAACCCAGGGCTCCTTCCTTCCTTCCATTTCTCCTCCTTCTCCTTTTTCTTTCTCTTTTCTTCCTTCTCCTTCCTTCTTTTTAATTGCCAGAGAGCACATGTGCTTGCCAGAGAGACAGAGAAAGGACAGAGGGAAAGGAAGGAAGCGCGCCTCAATGGGATATGGTCACACTGCAATCCCTTCTCCACTTCTCCATCCTGTTGGGATTTGGGCCAGGCACAAATGTGTGCCTGGCATGCTTTTCAAGCTTCTGGGGCTGGCATTCGAACTGCGGTTGGCTGTATGGGATCTGGCTCCCAGCGCTCAGCTCTTACCACTTTGTTACGGGGCTGCCCCAGGTCTCTTCTTTGAGTTCTCATGACATAATTTTCTTTTTTTTTTTTCTCTGAGAGATTTTTGCCATAGGGTGTGTGCGCTCTCCAGAAAGACAAAAGCGAGAAATCGCCTGGGAATGGCCACATTGCAATCCCTTCTACATTCTCTTCTTGGGATTTTGGGCACACATACATGTGCGCTTGGCATGTTTCAAGCCTCTGGGTCCAGGACTTGAACTGCCGTCGGCCACATGGGAGTCCAGTGACATAACCATTATGCCATCTGCTGGTCCCTCATGATGTAATTTCAAGCACAAGAAAAGTTTAGGATCCGCCCCACCCCAGGTCCATCCAGCACTTCTTCTTCCAGGGTGGGGGTAAAGGAGCCAACTTCAGCATTGCCAGATCCCACTCAGATCTGCCCCCTGCTGCACCCCACCCTGCAATGCCTCGTTGGTGTCACTAGAAGGCAGGGGGTAAGCTTCTGGAAGGAGAACTGGGGCTCTCACTGGTCTCCTCGTCTCTGTCTACCTTCCTCCCTAAATTCTTGCTCTTCATCTCTATCTTCTTTGCACATGAGTCTTCCCAGGCCACTCTGCTAGTCCCACCTTGTATCTTCAAGTATCCACCCTGATCCTAAATCTCTGCCTCTCATTTCCTTGCAGCCACGGGGCAGGGCCACCCCTCTGCAGGCTGGTCCCTCCTGCTACTGCCCTGGCTCCTTGCAGTGGGGGCCTTTCCTGAGAGCCCAGGCCTCCTCTGAACTACCAGGCTCCAGACAGCCTTGCCTGCTGCCTCTCCCCAACCTGACGATGTTGGCCACGTGTGTGCATCGGTGCAGCCAAGACCCTTGGTCACCCCATCTGCAGGGAACTCTAGGAAATCCCCTGGCATCTGCCGGACCTGCTGGTGGAGAAACTGGACAGAGTCTGAGGACTGGACCTCAAAAGCCTCCGGGAGTGAGGTTCTGCATAGAGGTGAGGGAACCCCAGGACGAGCTGCAACTCACTCAGACAGAAGAGACCTTAGCTCATGTGGGAGGAAAGCACCTGGTCATGGCACGTGTTGGTGCTACTCAAAAGCCTCACATGCCCATCAGGAAAGCGCCTGCCACTCCTTCAGGCCTCTCCCACTGCTGGGCACAGGGCCCGGCCTCTGAACTCCAGTAGACCCCTGGGTGCTTCCCTATACCACATGTCCACATGTCTCCCACTTCAGACTGTCAGCTTCCTGAGGGCAGGCTCCGGATCTGAGGCACAGAGATGGTGCCAGGAAATGTGTGAACGTTAGAAAGGAACAAAGACCTGGGAGTGGTCCCTGCACCGCCCCATCTTGGACACTCAGAGAGTCAGTGCGGAGTGGAGAGGACAATAGCTCATTTTTAAAAAAATAATTGTTTATTTATTTAATTATAGTTGTTACTATTATTTTAAAAATTTTGACCAGAGAGAGAGAGAGAAAGGGAAAGTGAAAAAGCAAGTTGCCCGGTCCAGGACTCGAACCACAGTTGGCTATGTGGGAATCTAGCACCTTTAACCACCATGCCACCTGTCAACTCCCCAGGACAATAGCTAATTCAAGAGGAATGAGAGCAGGAGAGATGGCAGAAAGAGCTATAGGCTCTCTTCCAGGCTCTCGGTCAAATCCTGGTCATGTTTGTGTCCGCAGAGATGCAATTTCTGCTGACCTGTGAGTCCTGAAGACCCGTCTCTAGGCAGAAAATCACAGATCCCCAACTCCCACCACAGGCCCAGAGGTAAGACAGGACATCGAGGAGGTGCCGGGGACACGCTTACTTTATTGTGACTTGGTGCTTCGAGATCAAATGTCTGTAAGGCCTCTCACTCTAGAAACTAGACCATGAGTCCCCATTCTCCTTCCTGAGCTCCTAGGCAGCGACAGGGAAGACCAGGTTCCTAGGACAGCAGCCGCCTAGGAAGCAGGAGACAGGAAACAGTGATTCCGTCTCTTAGATGATAACCTGCACTCTTCACCAAGAACTCTGACGGCCAGCGTGGACACTGAATTCTATCCCTTCAAGGCAGCATTCAGATCTCAATGTTTCTTAGCGTTCCTCTTTGGGAGTGGGGAGCAGCAGGCTCCGAACTCCCGTTAGTTAGGGTGCACAGGTGAGTGCTCCCATGTGCTTTGCGAGGGCCATAGCACTGGTCCAGAAGAAAGGGTGTCCCAGGCTCTCAGGGACGACAGGGATGGGGCGATGGGGAGAGACCAGCTGGCCTCTCTAAGGACCAACCACTGCCTGGCCCGGCATCTCCATGCACAGTGCCATGGCTGCTGGGGCTCTGGGGTCCACTGCGTCCTCACAGGGCCTGTACTAGCACCAGGAGGCTCATGAGCAAGGCCATGGAGAAGAAAATGCCCAAGAAGAAGCGGTCCATCACGCGAGCCAAGCGCTTCCAGTCTTCATGGCGGCGCTGGGCAGCCCGGTGACTACGGAAGGTGTTGGCGATAGTGGCTACGTGGTGCAGGAGGGCTTCCTGGTGGCACAGACACCGGGGCTCATGGCAAGGGCTTTCTGGGGGCCTAGCCCCTCCCTCAGGAGGCTGGGGGCTGGGAGCTGACTCAGGGAGCCTGGACTGCCCACAGGGCTCCCCTCGTTCCCGCACACACAGGCCCCGTGCCAGATGTCCCAGCAGGAGGGCCCGTGCCCAGGCTGGCACTGGGCGGGCACTGGGACCACAGTAATGCAGGTTCATGATAAGGATGGTGAGTGCTGTTGAGAACGTGACCATGGTCATCGTGGCCATGTAGTACTTCCCTGCAAGAGAAAGAGCCAGTTGGGGCCCAAAATAGGAACATGAAGACCCCAGCCCCCCAGCTGTCTCTGCACAAATAGGAACGAGCCCACCAAGAGCTTGCAGGAAGCTCCCAGCCCCAAGGATGGAAGCAGGAAGTAAAAGCCAAAGCCTCCCCATCTCTCATTCCTGCAACTGTCTTCTGGATGCTTCTGTTCCCTCATGTGCCCCTGGTACGGGAGGCTGCACGCAGTCCACCACAGGCTCTGAGGTAGTTACAGAAGTGACTTGACCCATGTAACTGGGATAACAAGGACCTAGCTCCTAGACTGGGGTGATGCTGGGGTGGGCTAATAAAAGTGCTTAGGAGCATGCCTGGCGCCCAGCAAGCACCCCATACACGTGCCAATGACCCGTCTGTGGCTGCCTTTCTCCCAAGGTTTTGCGAAAAGTTCGACCACTTCCGCCCCTGGTGGTGAGGGGTGTTCTTGGAAGGGGGCCACTCCCCTCTCAGTCTCCACGGGAGGGCATGCTCCCAGGCTGCAGCCCCTGACACACTGAGGCTGGAGCCACTCTGCCTGCCCAGGGCCCTCGCTCTGTGCTCCAGGTCCCTGCACTGGTGGGGACCCGCGTGCACCTCAGCAAGGGAGGGGCAGGCCAGGGCACTCACCGATGAGCGGCACGCTCTCTGCGGGCGGCATACTCTCGGCCAGGAGCAGCTGGAAGACAGTGAGTGCCAGCAGCACGGTGACGCCGAGCGACACTTTCTCGCCCGAGTCTGCGGGCAGGTGGAAGGCGAGAGGTGCGAGCAGTGAGATGAGCACGCAGGGCAGCAGCAGGTTGCACACGTAGGCGGCGGCGCGGCGGCGCAGCAGCAGCGTGAAGGTCACGTCGGGGTAGGGCTCGGAGCAGCAGGGTAAGGTCGGGGAGCAGCAGCCGTAGGTGAGCACGCGCCGCCGCGCAGGCATGCCCAGCACGCGCCACTCCACGTTCTCCACGAAGTCAGCCAGGCTGGCAGCGGCGCCGCGTGGCCTCACGTCCAGCTGGTGCCCGCCGTGTGTCCAGGAGCCGAACGTCAGGCCGCAGTGCTGCGCGTCGAACGGGAAGGCTGAAACGTCTACACGACATGAGCTGCGGGTGATGGCTGGCGCGTCCCAGCGCACCGCGCCGTCGTGTCGCAGCACCACGTTAGTGCTGGCCGAGGCCTGTGGCTGCGCGTCCGCCCTGTGGGCAGACGAAACAGGACTCACTCAGGCAGCCGTGCTGGAGGAGCAGCCCCTGGGCAGATGTCCCTGACCCCG